GCCGACAAAACACCGGAAGAGAAGTCACTTTTAGGTTAGAAGTAGTTTGCTGTGGTAAGGGTATGCAAAATAAGAAAAAGTAAGTAAATGAAGATATTTTTCGAACACTTGATTAATGCCCCTTATATTGGACTTATCAGGCGATTTAATCAAAAAATATGGTGATATCTATTCCTTGTGTTAAGCCATTATTAAGTTAACTGTATTTTCAAAAAATAGTTTCTATCTGTGAGAGAATAAGATGCAGAACTGTTTTAATTATTAAAATTATGAGAAAAATTTTTATATATTTACATGTATTATATAATTTTCATGTACATGTGCACATAAGAATGTTAACACAAGCAAAACAAATAAATTTATTATCTACAGCATTTAAATCTATTATTTGTAGGCATACATGCATAAGACTGACATAATCGATTATTAAACCAAGTAAAACCAGTTAAAGCAGTTAGTGATCATGACGATAAACAGTGGGAAGAAATAAGAAAAAGAATAAATAACGCAAGTACTCTAGTTCGTGTGTAAAAATTATTATTATTATTAGTATTATTATACCCACCCCTTTCTGCCTGTGATAAATTGAGAGCAAAAAATAAGTTAGCGTTAGTCTTCTTACTAGACTTGAATTTTAATAATCATTAATCTACTAGAGGTTCAAACAATTACGATGACTATCCCTTTTTTTACTTCTGTGCGTACTAAAACCTATCTAACTAGTTATACATACAATACATTGCTTGATTTTTAGGAGGTCCCAGGTTTCTTCCCTTACTTAAAATGCATAAATTATAATATGGACATAATAAATGCAATGAAGCACCAAACAGCGGATAAAATAATTATATAACAACATAAACGGGAATACTGATTCTTTTAGTGTAGACAGAATAAACGTGCAAATTCAAGTAATAAAATACATGTAACAAAAAGAACAACACCGGAAATGTAAAAAATAAACGGTGTAACAATAATAACTTCATTTAATAAAATGCATTTTGAGCCGACAATGGTAACGTAAATGTTGGAGCATTTGATGAAAATGACATTAAATGAGAGATTTGGAACTGCATTTAATTTTCTTATCGTAAATCTGATTTAAACCGGTTTAGAGTTGTTAAAAAAAAAACTAATTTTAATATTTGTCTAAAAACGCTGATCATTTATTATACAAGTATTATTGAGATGATTGATTTGAATGCGCTGACTAAATCTCCGCTATACCATTGTGCATTCCAAAAGAATATCCCCTTTGATAGAAAAAAAGTACAGTCAAACCTCTTTCTACACTAGTGGCCTGGTTTAAATCGGATCCTCGATATAATACACGATTTCTATGGAACAAATTTTCTATTGATAAAAAATCCTCGATATACCGTATTTAATATTGGGAGATCTTTATACCAGTTCCAGTGTAATTTGCAGGAAATATATATATATATATATGAACAAAAAGCCCATTTACTATATAATTTGTACCAAGAAATCACGATCCATGTGTCTACGAAATCCAAGAATCATGAAAGAAAAGCCTCGGATAACCAGGTGAAAAAGTTAGGGATTTTAATGATTCAAAAGACACGGATGTTCTGGTGGGAAAGTAGTGGTTGAGATTTAATAAAACCTTTTGTACCGGATTTTTCAGTAAACAATTCTGTAGTTTGCTATAAGTATACTACTCTATAACGGCTGAAAAGTGGAAATTCAATGCAACCGTTATAGAGAGGTTTGACTGCAATTAACACAAACGATGCTCTCGAATCCTTTTAAAACAAAACTCCACACTATTTTATAACTTACAATCAAACGCTTTATGTTCATGCTTTATATACTTTCGGCTACTTTTGACTTTCAACTTTTCTCTAATTGGGAGTACATGTTGAAAGGGCTTTTAGCATGTAATGTCAGGCGAAATAATTATTTCGATTAACAACATTAAACCGGTTTTAATATTAAATAAATCCGATCCCATAATTTTATGTTCTGAATATCTTTGGTCTGATACAACATCCCTACAACCAAAAAATTCCAAAATATCAAAATCCCGACAGTTACAAAATTAAGCGACATAAATTCAGTTATATACTCAATATCATGTCGTAATAAAACATTTGATGTTAACATATATCAAATTGTCGGTATCTTAAACAAGTCGGAATTTCGAACCGTTTGGGATATTGGACTGTCGATTTGGTGGGAGATCCACAATAATTAGGGTGTCATCGAATTATTAATTAAATAATTGACATAACTTCACCTATGCCGGATAGATTTCCGTGAATTCAATATTGATTTTACATATTAAGGCTAAGTTTAAGTTAGAAATAAGATTATATGTAAAATTATCTCACCAGAATTTTTTATTACATGTATAATTATACGTTACAAAATATTCCTGTGCTTTTATTAGCTACAGGCTCAGAAGTCTTGAATCATTGGGATTTTGAAACCATTCGGGACCTTTCGAGATTTTGAACTGTCGGGATCTTTGAGATGTCGAGACGAGATTTTGTACCAGGAATCTTGAACTGTCGGAATTTTTGGGTGTCGGGATGTTGTGCTATCAAAATTTTGGATCCGGGATATCGGAATAGACTCGATTCGCACGATTAAGAGAGACCTCGATATAAAAAAATTCGTCTATTTTTGTAACAAAAGAATTTGTATAAAATTGTCACTTGCCTCTATCGGATAATGCGTATTGATAGTATGTAATTCCAAAAATTTATTTCATAATAAATACTATATTTTTTAAGCAATTCTCTTTTTTGCTTTATCGTTAGACAACACCTGAGGATCGGTACCTCCAAGTTTGGATAAAAAAGTGAAATTATGAACCTATTTTGTAATCCAAATACGACAGTCAAGTGGTGTTTATTTCCGGTATTTGAAAATGACACTATGTAATAAAATTTAGATAAAATATTTGGATTAAAAGATTTCGAATCGTATTTTAATTTATCACCGGCTTGAGTTAAGGCAATGCTTTTTATTCATCATCAATTTGTCGCTTTTCTTGCAAAACACTTCAATATCTCTTCAGCGTCATACTAATATCGAACCAATTTGCACCATCAGAGACAATATAATAATGAATGAGTTAAAGAATTAATAAGAGAATAATAATAAATTATTTTTTATCTTTGTTTTGAGCATACAAACTGTCACTTTTAGATTCAATATCAATAATAGATTCAGTAGTTTTTTACACGCAAACAAATATATTAACATTTTAATAAAAATAACAGGCTATATACATAATGAGTTTTTTTTACCTTGATTCGGATTATTCGGAACATATAAATTACTTATAAAACTTAAATATTTGATATATTTAAATGTCATTTAAAAATAATGCGTATGTGTTGAGATTGCACTGAAATGCAAAATATATGTATATAGTATGCAAATTTATCGGTCGTTGATAAATAAAGTCGATAAAGTAAAAAGTCTCTCAGCAGTTGGTCTTTTTTGGAATTGGGACCCAACATTTTCCAATATTAAATTTGCAACATCATTTGGTATCGTAGGTCGTATTCCTTTATAGATGTCGCATACAAGATGATACAATCTCGTATAGCTTTGTGCAACGAAAATTTTGACAATAGTGCGATGGGGTTCATCAATAGGAGATAGCAAGTTTTCCGTATTTACACCTCTGGACTCATATAAGGAAGTAACTCTATTAGATGTTGGAATGAGGAATGCTCAACGACGACATTGATATATCTCCGATGAAAATCACAATATACGTATAAACTTCGTGAATTTTTGTAATCATCACCGTATACATTGTATTAAGCATCACTTAAGCGTTAGTTTTTAGTGTAACGGTAATTCTAAAACGTTGACTATAAGTAATTATAGAGCGCAGTATCGGGAAATTAGACTATTTTATCCAATAACATTACAATAACGTGCTTTAAAGTTAATTCACGTATACAGTATTTTCTACTTTTCTCATGGAGAAGTAGCTCAAGCGTACATATAATTGAAATAAACAAACAACTTAATAAATATTATTCGCTTTGATATCTACGATGTAGCTGTCAAACTGTCGTAATCTCGCATGTGACTCTTGATACATGTGCTTCTGCTGGTTAGCTGCAGGTATGAACTAAATATCAATTTCTTGGACATATATTTTATTAATTTTACTTTACAATAAGTAAAAATACCTCTTTTATAAGGTTAGATTTGGAGAGGGTAAGGATTATATTTTCTTTAATATAGCATTAGCTATCTATTGTGTTTTCGTCAAGGCAAAGAATATTTTATAAAACTAACATCGATATACCTAAACAAAACACTTGAAGACATTTATTACATCATTGCAAATATTGATTCCAATATGAGGTTTCTGTCATAAAGAATTGAGAAGAAGCATATGGGAAAACTTCGGACCTTATAAGGGACGACGAAATTCATGAGCATATGTAGAATTTCGGACCTTATAAAAGGACAGCGAAATTTACAACGCATTTATAGTTCGAAAAGCTTATCGGATATGGGGAATTTCGGGCCATATAAAAGGACCGCGAAATTCACGAGCACGTATAAAATTTCGGGCCTCATAAAAGGACAGCGAAATTCACAATGCACGTATAGTTCGAAAAACGTATGTGGGAAATTTCGGGCCTTATAAAAAGACAAATGAAGTTCGCGAGCTCTAAAGAAAGAACGTATGTAGATGGGAAGATTCCAAAACGTCAAGAATACAAAAAAGTTTCTTACTTTGCTGTGATAAAAATATAAGCTTTAGCGATGTTTACTTTTATGATAAGTGATACAAGTTATTTTCAAGAATATCACGTGTTCGTTGATTTCCCGAGACCCACATCTACGCTACCCTCGGAAAAGTATCCGACCAAGCTCTTTAAAATTGCTCAAGATCGGACATATAAACTATAAATTTTCTTGTTTTAAATGAATCCCCTGGGTTTTGACGATGACGTTCATATGTTTTGAACGTGGAAAAATAATTGGTCTGGAAGAACTCATGAGACTATTTCACGTCTTTTAAAGATTCCAAAAACCACTGTTACGGATACAATCGTCCGACATGCTAATTCTAATAACGGATCAAATGCTAAAAGACCCGGAAGACCACTTTCCATGAAATATGACGATCTTTAAACACTTATAGAAAGCATGCCAAATAGAATCGAAGTATGCATTAAGAATCAAGGATGACCTACTGAATATTAAATGCTATATTTATATTTATAAATCTTAAATAAGTAAAATAATTTTAGCTTGGTCGGATACTTTTCCGAGGGTAGTGTATGTGGCCCCGCCCATTAAGAAATATGTGATTATCAATCTCCCATTTGGAAATGTATTAATTAAAGAAAGTATTGTTCCGGTTAATAATTTATAAGGTCAGGGTAAGGTAAGGGTAGGCTTAGGAAACAAAGCTTATATGTAAAATTGTCTTCCCGACATTTTTAATTATAATTCCAAGACACTGGTTTTCTCGAAATATTCGCTTTTTTATTTCTTATGTCGGATTTGTTTTGCCGGGCTGATTAAAAATTTGTGCATTTTTATTGGTGATCGATAAATTTTCTTCATCCCTATTGGATGGATTACGTGAAGGTACATAGTTGCACCCGTCACACATCACAGTCACAAATACAGGGTAAGCCTATCAAATATCAAGATATAAAATATTAATAGCATTTTCATTAAGGTAAAGGTTAGAATCATAGTTAAGATTATATTGTATATTGCGTGCGCACATGTATGTGATAAAATTTTCTCAAGGATCATTTTTTGTTAGAACACATAAAGTATTTTCATAGGCAAAATTTCGAATGCATGTACATGTAGAAGTCATTGAATTTTTTCGTTACACATTGATCTTGCAATTTGATTGGTTTATCCCTAAAAATCACGTGAATAACACTTTTTTTGTTAGTATGTTCACTTACGAGTTGACTATAGATAGGTTTATGATTATAAAATCAGGCAGAATATGCATTCAGTTTTGTGTCACCTACTCCATTTTCAAAAAGGAGGTTTTAAGTCTTTTGCGATAAAATAAACCTTTCGTTGACTCGCTAATGCTACACGCAAATATTTAATGGTACTAGAGCAAAGGTAGTAAAGCCCAAACTACGAAGAACAAAAATCGAACATACAAAATTGAAAGCACCGTGTCTCGAAAACACGGATCTTTTTTTCATTATCCTAGAATAGAATGTTAAATACGCATGACTTATTACATAAATTTTATAAATATGTGGAAAATATTTATAAACTATGATTAATATAAAAAATATTCTTAATAAAAAAGAACTATAGCAATCCTTTCCCATTACTTTTGTTTCGATTATCCATCATCAAGATGACAGATAGACAAAAAGCGAGCGAAAAAAGCGAAAAAACTGTACCGAAAATAACAGTGCCACGACTTGCCGGAAAATAGCCGGTGGTCATGGCAAATTGCGAATGAAAATATCGAAAGAACCCGCAAAATAGAAATGTTATTCCTAGAATCATAAAAATTAGTCCTAATGATTTGCCGAGGATCTCGTCTTTAGGTAAATCCGGCGACAAACGAAATAATTGTGTAATGGCTTAAATCAAAGTAAATATGAGATATTGAATAATGGCGGTAATTTTTTAAAGGATTTCACTTACCAAGGCCGATTCCTATAAAAGACAACGAAGATCGTAACCAGGCTAAAAAAGTTCTTTCATTTGCTATGAAGATACAAAATTTATCAATATTTTGATATAAGTAATAGCACAAAAAGCATAGTATCTAAAACTATATATTGTATTTCTCATACCCAAATGATCTCTAGCGACACTTGCTCGATTTTCCAAGTAAAGGGTTGGACTATAGCTCTTTATCCATTCTGACCAAGTTTTCTCAGTGAAAGAATCCGGCATGGTATCAAGTAAATTCGATGGGAAGGTTTCGTAATTTCTTACTGTCGCATTCATGGAAGCGTTTGTATTTGATTGCTTTTTGACATTTATTTTTTTGTTTACATTATCATTATCGGACATGTTTTATTAACGTTTAAAATTTTAAAAAATTTAAAAAATATAGACAAACAAAACAAAAAAGTACACATTTATTCGATAGGCTAAAAATTAGAATTTATTTATACAATGTTTGAAGGAACAGAAAATATGCATGACGAGATTTTTGTGCATCTCACGCAATATCATATGTACAAATAAGGTTCACCGAAATCTCATCTGTGTTCTGTATGATGCAGATTTAATGAACATATAAAATATAAAATACGAACTAATTTTCGTGAAAAACTCACGAAAGGCAATCAGTAATTTTTTTTTAATTACTGTAATGATACATACAAAATTTAGCTGAGACAGACTAATCAACTCAAAGGAAGGAAAAACTCACTGACTTATGTATTTTTAACAGTTATCTTGTAATTAGACAAACAATTAATCAACATATAGTGCTATTATTAACTGAAGTGCTTAAAATGGTCAATAACTCTCTCTAAACACTTAATTCATCAGTAAATAAGTTATATGATTAGAAAAGATTTTATTAAAGTGAATTCATATATAGTAGAGGCAAAAGTATCCAACCATTTGTAACTTTTTATTTTGAAAATTTTTTTGATTTAAACTTTTGGAATAATTACAGTCTGTAACAAAAAAAATCGGAATTACTATTTTTACTTGTATTCAATAAATATTTATTTAAATTATATAAAATTTTAAAAATATATGCTTGATAATCTAGTAAACAAGTTACTTAAAAACATTTAATAGCATATCTTAATAAAATTTTTCATAATTAAAATTTTTTTATTAAAATTTTTTTTGAAAAAATTTATTATAAAAAATTTAAAATA